GCCATTAAAATCGAATTTTAGATTTGAGAGAGAGAGAGAAATATCATTTGTTGTCCCACTTATTTATGGATTCACTGGTCGATTCTTATATGTGCCCTGACTGGGGATCAAACCTGAAACCTTGCCATATCAGGATGATGCTTTCACCAACTGAGCTACAGAGACAAGGCTCATGTGCCACCTTTGATCAGCCTGTATTGGCTGCCCACCTCACAAGAGCCCGTACCTTACAACCAAATCATTTCTGGTTGACTGTCAGAAGAGAGACCATCATGAATCGAACCCTGATTTTGTATAAGCACAATGCTATTTTGAAAAGTCGGTGTTATAAAAATTGTAACATTGATCACACAAAAAAAGTTAGAACCAAAAAAATTTCAGATATATTTAAAAGCATTATGTATGTAAAAATCACACAACCCTGAAAACAGTGTAGCAAATGCTCCTTTTGAGAGACTTTTCTGCCTGGCTTAGCCTTGTGCAGCTAATCAAAATATATGGCTGAGGAGGACACCGTTTCCTGATAAATCACCCTCTGGCTAACAAAGGGTTTCTTTACTCCTCCACAGGCTAACGTACCACATTGAAAATGAGAGTCATCTGTCTCACACCTATTCACTGCCGATTCCATGTGCATGGATGCCTCTGAAAGTCTTCGAGGGGCACCTGCTACTCCCGTGACACCTTGCTTTTCTGTTTCAGAAAGGAATTCATTGCTGAGCTGGATAACTGAGATTCTAAAACTTCCATGCTGCCCACGTCAGGACCTTTAACCAGCAGCTTGGTCCATGTTGCCAGGCCAAAGCCATGTCCTTGACACTTGGTTCCATTTTGTCTCTGTGATGGAATTCTTTTTTTTTTTTTTTTTTAATATATTTTATTTATTTTTTTTTTTTTTTACAGAGAGGAAGGGAGAGGAATAGAGAATTAGAAACATCCATTAGAGAGAAACATCGATCAGTTGTCTCCTGCACACCTCCCACTGGGAATGTGCCTGCAACCAAGGTACATGCCCCTGACCAGAATCGAACCTGGGACCCTTGAGTCCACAAGTCGACACTCTATCCAGTGAGCCAAACCGGTCAGGGCTATGGTGGAATTCTTATTTCCAGTAATACCGCTCATTAAAGTGAGGGTCAAAGTATTTAAAGTTATGGATAAGAAATATACATGAAAGTGCTTTGTCAAGTATAAAAGAACTTTTTAAACTCTTAAGTAGCCAAGCAAATATTGGCTATCATGCATTTTCTGCAGTAATGCATGTATTCACAAGTGCAGAAGTTGTAGGGTGAAAGACAAAGAACCAGAAGGGAAGTGGGGGGCAGGGAACCTAGAGGCGGAAAGTTGGAAGCATCCTCATAAACTTGGCCGCTACAGAGAAGTGTTCTCTCCTGCGGCTGCTGGTTCCTGCATCAGGGCTGTGCGCTCAGGTCCGCAAAGCCGGAACCCTTCCCCACCCACAACCAAGTGGCGTTTACCAACTCCACTGCCGACCGTCAAACTGTTCTATTTCTTCATTTCTCATCTTTTCATCTAGATCCTTTACCCCACCTTAACTCCAGCTAGATCAGCTGCATTCATAGAAATGGTGCCTTCAAAGAATCAAAGTATAAACACCTTTATTTAAGAAGCAGTTTGTGCCAAAGCCGGTTTGGCTCAGTGGATAGAGCGTTGGTCTGCGGACTGAAAGGTCCCCGGTTCGATTCCGGTCAAGGGCATGTACCTTGGTTGCGGGCACATCCCCAGTGGGGGTGTGCAGGAGGCAGCTGGTCGATGTTTCTCTCATCATCGATGTTTCTAACTCTCTATTCCCTCTCCCTTTCTCTCTGTAAAAAGTCAATAAAATAGTTTAAAAAAAAAAAAAAAAAGCGGTTTGCAAGCGAAATGGGACTCTCCCAGGTTTGGGGCAGTGCCTTCAAGTTAGAGACACATCACGTAGCCGGCTTCAGACGGAGCTGTTTGAGCGGCTGGCAGCCCAAGTTCCCGGGGAGCCACTGCCCCCTTGTGTCTCAGAGCTGGCTACAAATTAGTCAATGATCGGGAAGAACATTTGGCAACAGTCTGTACAAGATTATTTATTGGTGGGCTATTTCTGGCTCTTAGATTTATTAGTGCAAGTAAGATTTCCTTTCACCCCATGGCTTTTTGAATAACCTTTCTTCCCACCGATTTCTTCAAAGACATAGTTGCATTATAATTGTCAAATAAATGTATAGTTCTTGAAAGAAAATTTGTGTACAATTATTCAATTTTGTTAGTGTCTTGATGTATTTCCTCCCTATTTTTTTCTCTCTCCATATAAGGAAACCTAATTTTACTGGGAGTCAGAAAAAAAAAAAAACCACAAGAACTATGAAATCTAATTTTATCATAAATGTTATGTAAACATGATCTCTTCTCCCCAACAGGAAAATTAAGTTTGAATTTGCTAGAGAACTAAGAAACAAAATTATCTTTTTCTCAGAAACAATATAAAACATAAAGGATAGTACTTTAGAGCATAGACCCTCATAAAATTTGGCTGTAATTTCAAATCTGTGGACTAAGAATACTGTAACGAATGCAATTATTGACACATTAAATTGGACATCTCATTTTCAAGACAGAAAAATAAAGCTTCCCACCCTAAAGATGTGGGAGTTAGGAAATTGGGTAGTCTGAATATTGCAATTATTGGCAACTGCTTTCAAATGTGATTAGTCCTATTTCTAAGTGTTGTGTAAATATGCTGCCCCACCCCCACACACACACACACACACACACACAAAATATGGAAAATATAGAAACAAAGGCTTAGAACTGGATATTATAGGAGGAGCTGAGTGGATATTTAATTTAAAAAAATATATAAACCCAGTATAAAATATGCTCTTATTATTGTTTAAGATCACCTAGCCATTCAATGTTGTTCTCTTTTTCAGAGTAACAAAGGGAGGAAAAATGAAATTCACTGTTGGGCAAGAGTCAAAACCTTATTTCCCTTGTGGTGAGTGGGTTGTGTCTTAGTTAGCTTTCCTGTTTTGGGGTAGGAAGGAAAGTCAAGGAAGTTAGTGGTTTTATTGTCGTTATCTTATGAGGCCTTCTGGGCATTCCTACGATCAACAAATATGCACTGGGCCACGCACAGTCCCAGGCATGCCATGATGAGCAAGACTGGCAAGATCTCTATCCTCAGGAGCTTCTGTTCTAGAAATCTCCATAGACCATTGGGATACTCTCTTACGTTGACTTTGGGTGATTATAATTACTACATATCTCTTTTATAATGAGAATATTTTGAAGAGAGGAGGAAAAATTGAATTCTTCAATAAAGGATGGATACAAATCTGAGTTTGCCATACAACCCTGAGTGATTCAAAACCCTCCATCTGGAACACATTATTATTCTGAGTTAATCCCTGGTCACTTTTATTATTGTTTTGTTTATTCTTTATGTTGCATCAAGCTCTAAAACAGCATGTCTCAACTTCAACGTTTTAGAAAAGTTCGTTGTTTGGAGCAGTTCTGTGCATTGTAGGATGTTTGGCAGCATTGGTGCTTCTATCTACTACCTGCCAGTAGCATCCACCCTCCAGATGTGACACCAAAAATGCCTCCAGACATACTGCCAAGTGTCTGCTGGGGGCAAAGTCACCCTGGGCTTAAGAAGCACTGCTCTAAAAGGAAGACAAGCCAAACAACTGCATTAACAAGGAAGGGAAACTGTTTTTTGAAAGGAGTTATTAAGCCTGGTTGGCATGGCTCAGTGGTTGAGGATCGACCTATGAACCAGGAGGTCATGGTACAATTCCCATCAGGGCACATGCGGGGGGGGGGGGGGGGGTAGTTACAGCCTTGATTCCCAGTAGGGGGCCTGCGGAGGCAGCCAATCAATAATTTTCTCATCACTGATGTTTCTACCTCTCTCTCTCTCCTTCCCTCTGTAAGATTAATATATTTTTAAGGAGTTATTGAATATAGTAAATAGTTTTAAATTTTATTTTTATCCTCACCTATGGATATTTTCCCATTGATTTTTAGAGAGAGTGGGAGGGAGGGAGAGAGAGAGAGAAACATTGATGTGAGAGAGATACATCAATTGGTTGCTTCCCACAAGCACCCCAACTGGGACCAGGGATTGAGCCTGCAACCCAGGGACATGCCGTTGACTGGATTTGAACCCAGGATCCTTCAGTCCTTGGATCAGTGCTCTATCCACTGAGCCAAACCCACCAGGGCATAAATATTTTTTACTTGCATAATTCTTCGACTTTACCAGCTCAGGTTAAAGTCAGGTCCATGGATTTCATAGTTATTTGCCATGCGCAGAAACTGCTAGTTACATATATCTATCCAAGATTCAGGGAGATGGTGAATTAAGATAAATCTTACCAAAACCGGTTTGGCTCAATGGATAGAGCGTCGGCTTGGGGACTGAAAGGTCCCAGGTTCAATTTTGGTCAAGGGCATGTACCTTGGTTGTGGGCATATCCCAAGTAGGGGTATGCAAGAGGCAGCTGATCTATGACTCTCTCTCATCGATGTTCTAACTCTCTATCTCTCTCCCGCTCATGGCTGGCTCTCTGTACAAAACTAATAAAATATATTTTTAAAAAATGATAAATCTTGCCTCTCAGCAATGACTCCACTTCTTCCATTGTGACATTCACCTTTGCTTGAGAGGAAATGAGCCACCCAGGGGCTGCTGCTCGGTGAGAATGGATGTCAACAGAGAACAGCAATAATTGAACAATGCTGTTTTATTCCAACTAAATAAGGCAATGCACAAGCCATCTGAGCAATAAGTTTGACTCAAGGGGCAAAAGCCAAGAGACAAGGATTTTATTTTGTTTTTCTTGCTTTAATCATCAGTTACTGCACATGGTTTTCTCCCACATCTCCTCTCGGAAAACAGGGGTTAACAAGTCTCATGCAAAGAAACATAGAAAGTGAGAAAATGAAATTCATCTATTGTGTAGCTGAAGGTAGTTTCTCCAATTTTTCTTCTGTAAAATGCTCTATCAGCACGGTCCATTTCGGATTATTTTTATATCATGACCATCTTCCCTGCAAGTTGAACAACCATAAAAACACATTTATTACCTAGCATATTGACACTGTCCCAGCATTTATATTAAAAAAAACAACATGTCAGCCTATTCAGTATGGCTCAGCAGTTGACCAAAAGGTCACTGGTTTGATTCCTGGTCAGGATATTGGGTTGTAGGCTCAATTCCCAATAGCAGGTGTGCAGGAGGCAGCTGATGGATGATGTTTCTCTTGCATTGATGTTTCTATCTCTCTATCTTTCTCCCTTACTCTCCCTCTAAAAATCAATCCTATATAATAAAAAGCTAATATGCAAATTGACCGAATGGCAGAATGACCAGTTGCTATGATGCGCACTGACCATTGAGGGCAGATGTTCAACACAGGAGCTGCCCCCTGATGGTTAGTGTGCTCCCACAGGGGGAATGTTGCTCAGCCAGAAGCCCTGAGCCAGGCTCATGGCTGGCAAGCATAGTGGTGGTGTCAGGAGCCTCTCCCACCTCCACAGCAGCACTAAGGACGTTTGACTGACGGCTTAAGCAGGGAGGGGGCCTAAGCCAAACATCCCCTGAGGGCTCCTGGACTGCAAGAGGGCACAGGCCAGGCTGAGGGGACCCCCACCCCCTGCTGCAGTGCATGATTTTCATGCACCAGGCCTCTAGTAAAAACATATCTTTAAAAAAAACACCTATGTCATTGTACATTACAGTCCTTCTTGGGCAATATTTATGTAATCATTTTTAAAGCTAAATGAAGAAAACAATGAGGATGAAACCTCCAAATCTATCATTTCTCTACCATTTCTAACCCCAAAGAATCACTCTGAGAAGACCTAGGAAGCTCACTGAAGACTGAGGTCAGAGAATGGATCCCTGAAATACAAAGCAGCATACCTGAGAAGAGTCACGGTCCCTCAGCCAGATATAACACATTTATGATTTATCATTCTCTAGGTAAAGTTATTAACATCTACTGCCCAACTAAAGCTGCAGGTTACGCAGGTCACCAGCACATGCCCTCTGAATTCAAAAGAACATTTAATATTTCACAGAGTTTAACTATTAAATATACTCTTAATTTTGGAAAATCACCTATCCATGGATAGTAACATAACTCGATTATCCAGTCTACAGTTGCACATGTCATTCTCCAACTTCAGGCTAAACAATGCACTGAAGGATTCTGGTATATTTTTAAATGTCAGTGTGAAAATACAACTACTTACAGGTTATTCTTATATCCAAGAAAGGAGCCACTACTTCATAAGTAATCAAAATTCAAGGACAAAATAAAATGTGTCTATTCTACACTGTAAAAGTATGTCACCTGATTTTCATGCACAGAGTACACTCGTTGGGATAAGTGGACATGTCGCTTCCACATACAGGGTTAAAGTCTCTGGGACATCCTGGCAATGTATATTCATCACAGTTTGCCTAGAAAAGAGAAAGGAGGACAGAAATTAGAGAGCCATTGAAACTCAGATCATAGTGGCATAAAACTGGAAATTAACTACAATAAAAATAATCCAAAGAAATCAAACACATGGAGACTAAACAGCATGCTATTAAACAAGGACTGGGTTACCAGAGAAATCAAGGAAGAAATTAAAAACATCCTGGAAACAAATGACAATGAAAACACAACAATCCAAAATCTATGGGACATAGCAAAAACAGTTTTGAGAGGGAAGTTCATATCCCTACAAGCTTATTGCAAAAAACAAGAAAAAATTGTAACAAATGATTTAACTCTACAACTCAAAGAGTTAGAAAAAGAGCAACAAGAAAAGCCCAGTGTAAGCAGAAGGAAGGAAATAACAAAAATCAGAGTGGAGATAAACAACATAGAGACCAAAGAAACAATACATAAGATAAACAAAACCAAGAGTTGGTTTTTTTAAAGGATAAACAAGATTGATGAACCTCTAGCCAGGCTAACCAAGAAACAAAGAGAGAGGACCCAAATAAACAAAATCAGAAATGAAAGAGGTGAAATAACAACAGACCCCACTGAAATACAACAGATTGTTACAAAATATTATGAACAACTCTATTCCAACAAACTGAACAACCTGGAGGAAATGGACATATTCCTAGAAAAATACAACCTTCCAAAACTCAATTAGGAAGAATCTAAAAATCTCAATAGACCAATAACTTGGGAAGAAATTGAAACAGTCATCAAAAAGTTTCCAGCAAACAGCCGGGACCGGTTTGGCTCAGTGGATAGAGCGTCGGCCTGCGGACTGAAGGGTCCCGGGTTCGATTCTGGTCAAGGGCATGTACCGTGGTTGCGGGCACATCCCCAGTAGGGGGTGTGCAGGAGGCAGCTGATCGATGATTCTCTCTCATCGATGTTTCTAGCTCTCTATTCCTCTCTCTTCCTCTCTGTGAAAAATCAATAAAATATATTAAAAAAAAAAAAAAAAAAAAAAAAAAAAAAAAAGTTTCCAGCAAACAAAAGCCCAGGGCCAGATGGCTTCACAGGAGAGTTTTACCAAACATTCAAGGAAGAACTAAAACCTATCCTCCTCAGACTTTTCCAAAAAATCCAAAAGGAAGGAATACTTCCAAACTCCTTCTATGAAGCCAGCATCACCCTAATACCAAAACCAGATAAAGACAACTCAATGAAAGAGAATTACAGGCCAATATCCCTCATGAACATAGATGCCAAAATCCTCAACAAAATTCTAGCAAATCAGCTCCGCAGAGCATCACAAAGATCATACACCACAACCAAGTAGGATTTATTCCAGAAATGCAAGGATGGTACAATATCCGCAAATCAATAAACGTGATACATCACATAAACAAATTGAAAGATAAAAATCATATAGTCATATCAATTGATGCAGAAAAAGCATTCAATAAAATCCAACACCCTTTCCTGATAAAAACTCTCAGCAAGGTGGGAGTACAAGGATCATACCTCAACATAATAAAAGTTATATATGACAAACCCACAGCCAACATCATACTCAATGGGCAAAAACTAAAACCATTCCCTCTAAGATCAGGAACAAGACAGGGTTGCCCACTCTCACCACTCCTGTTTGATATGGTACTGGAAGTACTAGACATTGCAATTAGACAAGAAGAAGATATAAAAGGCATCCAAATTGGAAAAGAAGAAGTAAAGTTATCCTTATTTGCAGATGACATGATATTGTACATAAAAAACCAAAAGACTCCATTAAAAAAACTAATTGACTTAATAAATGAATTTGGCAATGTAGCAGGATACAAAATTAACGCCAAGAAATCTATGGCATTAATACACCGACAGCGAACTTATAGAAACAGAGACTAAAAAGGCAATCCCATTTACCATCGCACCAAAAAAATTAAGATACCTTGAACTAAACTAAGATACCTAAACTGAACTAAGGAGGTAAAAGACCTATACACAGAAAGTTTTCTGAGTATACACGACACTGAAAAAAGAGATAGAGGAAGATGTAAACAGATGGAAGAACATACCATGTTCATGGATTGGTAGAATCAACATCATCAAAATGTCCATACTTCCCAAAGCAATCTATAGGTTCAATGCACTCCCAATTAAAATACCAATGGCATATTTCACTGACCTAGAAAAAAAACTTCAAAAATTCATTTGGAACAACAAAAGACCCCGAATAGCCACAGTAATCCTGAGAAAGAAGAGTAAAGTAGGAGGGATCTCAATACCAGATTTCAAACTGTATTACAAAGCCACTGTTCTCAAAACAGCCTGGTACTGGCACAAGAACAGACATATAAGTCAATGGAATCGAATCGAGAACCCAGATATCAACCCAAATCACTATGCTCAGTTAATAGTTGACAAAGGAGGCACGAACATACAATGGAGTCAAGACAGTCTCTTCAATAAATGGTGTTGGGAAAATTGGACAGATACATGCAAAAGAATGAAACTGGATCACCAACTTACACCATACACAAAAATAAACTCAAAATGGATACAGGATTTAAACATAAGACGGGAAACCATAAAAATACTAGAGGCATCCACAGGCAGCAAAATCTCAGACATATGCCAAAAGAACTTCTTCACTGATACTTCCCCTAGGGCAATGGAAGCTAAAGAGAAAATTAACAAATGGGACTATATCAAAATAAAATGCTTTTTTACAGCAAAGGAAACCATCAACAAAACAACAAGAAAGCCCACTGTATGGGAGAACATATTTGCAAATGTTATCACTGATAAAGGTTTAATCTCCAACATCTACAGACAGCTTACACAACTTAATAAAAGGAAGATAAATGACCCAATTAAAAAATGGGCAATGGATCTAAATAGAATATTCTCAAAAAAAGACAGAAGGAAGGCCAAGAGGCACATAAAAACATGCTCCAAGTCACAAATTATCCGAGAAATGCAAATCAAAACAACAATGCGGTACCATCTCACACCTGTTACAATGGCCAACATCAACAAACGACAAGTGTTGGCGAGGTTGCAGAGAAAAAGGAACCCTCGTGCATTGCTGGTGGGAATGTAGACTGGTGCAACCACTGTGGAGAACAGTGTGGAGTTTCCTCAAAAAACTGAAAATGGAACTCCCATTTGACCCAATAATCCCACTCCTAGGAATATATCCCAAGAAGCTAGAAACATCAATCAGAAAGAATATATGCACCCCTATGTTCATAGCAGCACAATTTACAATAGCTAGGATTTGGAAACAGCCTAGGTGCCCATCAGCAGATGATTGGATCCAAAAACTATGGTACATTTACACGATGGAATATTACACAGCCATAAAAAAGAAAAATTCTCATTGTTTGCAGCAACCTGGATGGAATTAGAGAACATCATGCTGAGTGAAACAAGCCAATCAATGAAAGAGAGACACCACATGACCTCACTTATTTATAGATGATAAAGAACATTATAAACTGAAGAACCAAAAGATAGATATAGAGACAGTAAAGCAACAAGCAGACTGTCAAATTACAGCGGGGAGATTGGGGAGATCTGGGGAGATAAGAGATCAACCAAAGGACTTGTATACATACATATAAGTACAACCAATGGACATAAAACTCTGGGGAGGGAGGGTATGTATGGGAGGGGGGGCATTGGTATATGTACAAAAATAATAATTTAATAAAAAAATATTATTTAAAAAATCTGATGAACAATATTAACTGTTAACTATAATAGAATCAGAGATATGGAAGGGGAGTGGACTGATGATTCTCAGGGAAAAGAGGAGTAGGGGGTGCAGGAAGAGACTGAACATAAACTGTGCACCTATGGATGAGGACAATGGGGGGTGGGGAAAGAGCAGAGGGTGGGGTAGGAACCTGGTGGAGGGGGGGGGGAAATGAGGAACTTTTGTAATAATATGAACAATAAACGTTTATTAAAAAAATAAATAAATAAAATAAAACGTTGACTGCAAGGCGTACCTATCGAGTCAAAAACTTTCTGAGTCATTAAAGAAAACAGTGAAGGAAACAGAGGCCTGAAGGCCTTCAAGACCTGAGCTATTTTCAACCAAAATTTACATTTTTTAAAATCTGTATTAAAAAGCCACTGATTTCTAAAGCAGTCAATAGTTTCAAAAGGATTAGGTCAGAACTGAAAGCTAGACTCCAACCCAATTTGCTGTGGACTTCACGGTACTAGAAACGGTACAAGTGGCTTCCTACTTACTTTTCTATATCTTGAAGATAGACCGAATTGATTGTTCAGAGAGGCTGAAAGAAAACAGATATTTAAAAGTATGTCGTTAAGGTCAATTCTTATTCGTAAGGGGCTTTTTAAATCCAGCTTGTGATTTACTCAGAACACACCTTCCTTTCCCTCTAATACTTACCCTTCTTTGAAGCACCCCTCTGACCCCCACACCCACCTCCAAAGGATATCCTGTTATGTTCCAGCACCTCTCTTAGCAGGCACACAAAGAACTTTTTTTTTATATAGTCAATTTGATGTTGCCTATATTTATTTATATGGAGATAATGGTAGCCACCAAAGAAGTCTGAGTTTGAGATGGGTGAGGGTTACTTACTTTTTCACAATTTCCCTATAGGTTTTTTTTTTTTTTAATCAATCTTTATTGTTCATATTATTACAAAGGTTCCTCATTTCTTCCCCCCTCCACCAGGTTCCCACCCCACCCTCTGCCCCCTCCCCACCCCCCATTGTCCTCCTCCATAGGTGCACAGTTTATGTTCAGTCTCTTCCCCTCTCCACCACTCCCCCTTTCCCGGAGAACAGTCAGTCCACTCCCCTCCCATATCGCCGACTCTACTACAATGAACAGTTATTATTGTTCATCAGGTTTTTCAATCTCCTTTTTGTTGTTGTTGTTGTTGTTGTAGGTGTGGGTTCCATAACTGATTGTCCTAATAGGTTTGCTTGAGAAAGGCCTATGGAGCTATGGAATAAAAGTCAGAGAAGCTGAAACCGGAACCAGTTTAGTTCAGTGGATAGAGCGTTGGCCTTCGGACTGAAAGGTCCTAGGTTTGATTCCAGTCAAGGGTATGTATGTTGGGGGCACATCCCAAAGAGGGAGATGGGGTGAGGAGGGAGTGCAGGGGCAGCTGATCAATTTTTCTGACTCTCTATCCCTCTCCCTTCTTCTCTGTAAAAAAATCAATAAAATTTATTTTATTTTTTTTAAAGTCAGAGAAGTGGTTCCTCATAATTCACACTATTCTTTCCTTCTGCAGCTCAGGGTAATGAACGCAAAACTTAGCATTTAGGTGTACCATTTTAACTCCATTGTAAACAGGGCTGGACTGAAGCCCCTTTCTCATAAGCCACGGGCTTGCACTTGGCAATCACTATCCCTAACTCCCCGTACATCTGCCGAGGCTCAGCAGGGCCACTGTGAACACCCAGCTCCTTATCTTGGGCTCCAGAAATCTGCTTTAAGGGAGAAAAGGCAAACAGCGTCACCAGAAGCAGCTGGGGATGAAGCCGGAGCAAGGCGGCCCCTGGTCCTCAGCCATCCCCACGCCCCGACATTCCTCAAGGACCGCGGCGGGCCAGGAACCGCCAGTAACGGTGCCAGGGACGCCGGGATCCAGGCCGTCGCCAGGGGCCTCCCTCTCAGGACTCCCCCACGGCCCGGTCCGACCACGCCGGCCGGGGAGCGGTACCTGCCAGGTCCCGGGCCAGCAGCGCCAGCACCAAGCTCATCGCCAGCAGCGCCATCCTCCTCCTCCTTCCCCCTCCGCCCGCGGCGGGTGCTGCGCGAGGCGTAGGACTCACCGGTGGGACCTGCGAGGATGTGGGGTGAGGGCGGGGCGGCCGGAGGACCAGAAGGGAAGGAAGAACGTGGAAGAGAGGAGGGGAGGGAGGGTCAGGAAAGGAGAGGGGGGGGGGGAGCCTGGGAAGAATGGGGGAGAAGTAAAGGATGCTGCTAGGCTAGCCCCCTATGCCCCCCACCCCACCCCGCGGAGGATGAGAGTAAGTGATTCAGGGGAAGGTCTCTCCCGCAACAAAACAAGACCTCGTCGGAGCGCTGGGACACAACCTTGAGGGCTGTCAGTCAACTCCTGCTTCTTCGGCCTCTCCTCGGTCCCAGGGGCTGCACTCGGTGAAGAAATCCCTGCTCTCAAGAAGCTTTCTCTGCAGGTGTTGGGGATGGGATGGCACAGGGAACGCTGAAACAATAGAATCAATCCAGTAGTGTCTAAAGTGTTCGAAAATGGTGGGGAAAAGGGGAGACTTTCCATTGGGAAGTCAGGAAAGGCCTTTCAGAGACGACATTTTAAAATATTTTTATTGCCTTAACTTGTTTGGCTCAGTGGATAGAACGTCCGCCTGCAGACTGAAAGGTCCCAGGTTCAATTCCGGTCAAGGGCATGTACGTTGGTTCTGGGCACATCCCCAGTAGGAGGTGTGCAGGAAGCAGCTGATCTGATCGGTGTTTTTCTCTCATTGATGTTTCTAACTCTCTATCCCTCTCCCTTTCTCTCTGTAAAAAATCAATGAATATACATTTTTAAAAATCTATTGTTGAAAGTATTACATATGTCTGCTCCCACCCCATGACCCCCTTCTAGGCGGTCCCAGGCCTTCACCACACTACTGTCTGTGTCCATGCATTATGCATATAGCCATACAAGTTCTTTAGTTGATCTCTTCTCTCTCACCACCCTGCCCTTCCACTCCTCTCCCCACCCACACCCCTACACCCCTCCCAACCCAGCCATTCTCCGCCTTCCCTCTGAGATTCCATGGGTCTGTTCCATGCTTCTATGTCTCTGGATTTATTTTGCACAACAGTTTATTTTGTTCATTAGATTCCATGTATAAGTGAGATCATGTGATGCTTGTCTTTCTCTGGCTGGCTTATTTCACTTAGCATAATACTCTCAAGATCCCTCCATGCTGTCTCAAAGGGTAAGAAATCCTTCTTTTTTACAGCTGCATAGAGGTTATTGTTTAGCTTCCTGGACGGTCACATTTGAGCTGAAAGCTGATGCATGAGAAGAAGGAAGGTTGGTGAAGACCTGGGGACGAGAACTGCAGGCTCAAAGAAAAGCTCGTGCCGAGATCGGAGGCAGGAGCCAGCTCAGTGTTTTAATTGGAGCCCTGCATGGAGGGGGAAGGGGAGCAGGAGACGAGACTGCAAAGCCAAGGTCATGTGTGGTTGGGTAGGCCATGATAAGAGCTTTGGGTTTTTTCTGGTTGCAGTGATAAATCAGTGGAGGACTTTAATCTAGGGAATGCCCTGATCTGACTTCTTTTTTAATACATTGGATGAAGAATAGACAGGAGATAGAAGATTTGTTAGAGAGATAAATTAGGTGGCTTGTGCAGTGATCCAGGCAAGAGGTGAGGGCATATGTAAGGAAGGCACTTATTCTGTTCCTAAGCAACTTAGGCACTTGCTCCTAATTCAGTTTTCACCTTAGCTATTGTGTAGTCACAGAGCAGAAGGTCTCCGGCCTGTTCTAGCAAGTGACATGGACTATTTCTCTAACTTCTGTGTCCCTAGTGCCTAGCACTATGCTTGACACAGGCTCGGAAAATGATGGCTGAATTAAGTGAACCCTTAAAATGTTAAACTGACATCACAATAAGAAAGTAGGCCAAAAAGAGGAAGACATGGGATCCAGGAAGTAGGAATTTCAACCCAAGGAGGAACAAAGGGAATTAGTAGACGGCAGTACGACAGTCCTAGAGTTCAGCTGGTCCATAGTGGAACAAGCAAGAGATCCCGAGAGATAGTATCTAGAGAACGACATAGCTGGACTATGAAATGTGTCTTGCAGTAACCGAGGTGAGAAATTGATTAATAACAAATTCAAAGAAAAAGAAGTAGGCTAGAGTGTCTGCACTGACAAATGAGGGTGGTCTGAGACCTCCCTGCCAAGCTGGAAACCAGGGAAATGGCAGAGATCGACCAAAAGACCAGGCAGGGTCTCACCTTGGTGATGCAGACACACCTGCAAAGAATGCAAGATAAATTTTAGACCATGTCTCACCAGATCATTGGAAGAATTGATGATGCGACCACTCACATTGATGTTCTAGAGAAAAACATTGCAGATCTCATGATCCAGGTTCAGGTAGAACAACAGGAAAGTGAAAACAAGACACCGACACCGGCTCCACAGAAGAGTTGAAGGTTGTTAATTTACACTGAAATCTGGAACATTATTTTTACAAGCCAAGAGGAGACCAAATGGCTTTTGCAACTAACTACTATGTACAGACATATTTTTAATAGAGTGTGCATTATTCTTATCACTTACTGTGTAGTTAGTTTATAGAGTGGTTTCCTCCCCCCCTCCTCTCCCCAGTTTTTTTTTAGCATAACTTCACATCCTGGATGTTGGGCAGTTGTGCTATTAAGTATTAAAACTTTGGTGGTGCCTATGTAAAATTGTTGAATTTTTTAATGTTTTTGTATGAAGCCATTTTTAATCATTCTTATTGTTTATTGATTTAAACAAGAGAGAAACGCGTCAATTTGTTGTTCCACTCATTTATGCATTTATCGGCTGATTTTTTAATATGCCCTAACTGACATACTGAACACCCAACCTTAGCGAAATGGGACGCTGCTCTAACCATCAGCTACCTGGCCAAGGCTCTAGCATTCCTTTTGTATATAGCAGTTGTTGTTTGATAAAAGTTGCTGTGTAATTTTTTCTATTAGACATATAATAGATCCTTCATTATAATTAGACTGAGTTTAGGGTCCTTTAATTCTCAACACAGAGTGACTATTGAGCTAACACCAAATAGTGTGTTGGTGATACATTTCAAATTGCTAAAAACATTTTTAAATTGTTTATTCAGAAATATATGTTTATTCAGAAATATATATATATATATATATATATATATTGCACTACTATGTTGCAAAAACTCTGACTTGAATGGAGATTTTTTTTTAATATATTTTATTGATTTTTCACAGAGAGGATAGAGAGTTAGAAACATTGATGAGAGAGAATCATCGATCAGCTGCCTCTTGCACACCCCCCACTGGGGATGTGCCCACAACTAAGGTACATGCCCTTGCCCAGGATCGAACCCGGGACCTTTCAGTCCACAGTCCAATGCTCTATCCACTGAGCCAAACCAGTCCTGGCTTGAATGGAGATTTTATGTTTAAGTCCCTGAGGTCAAATGCTAAAGTAATGAAGAGTAGCCACTGCCACTTTAATGTGAAAAAAATTCTTAAGTACAGAAAATGACAGAATTGCCTAATGTTATGAGGCATTCATTAGTTAGAGTATTGCATGAGATTTAAATACTTCTGAAGGACCTTACATTGTTCATCTAAAATAGTTACCATAGAAAATCTGGCAGGATTTTAAAACACAATTACTCCATCTTTTCTTTGAGCTACTAATTGAAGAAGAAAAAAAAAACACAGAAAAGAAAAAGAGACCATATTAAGTTTGTGCTTGTTGCTTCACTCAAAAATAATAACTTGTAGTAGGCTCAAGATTTTAAGAAATCCTTTTTCTTTAAACTATTCTATTTCTTTAAACTATTTCTTAAATCTAAATTCTTACAGATTAACTTTTTTACTGATTATAGAAGACAAGGATAATAACTCCTGCCACTCAAAAATGTAGTGTTGGAGTGCTAAGTATTGACTGTGAAGGAGATCCATGTAATTATCCCAGCAATTCTATATGGGGGGGAGGAGGAATGAAAAGTTAAGGAATGGTATTATGCTTCATAGAGGAAAACCCTTCACAAATACAGTATTTGTGTTGTTGTTTTCTTAAAAGTTTCCATATTGCCAGTCTTTAATGTATTGCAAAAGTTGAATAATATTAAGGAGGAAAAGAAAACTAAGAAAAATTAAAAAGATAGTTATTGGCTTCCAGAAAAACAAAGTTGTTCAATAATATAAATATCAATAACTGATTTAATCAAAATTATGATTAACTGCCCTGACAGGTTTGGCTCAATGGATAGAGTATCAACCTGCAGATTGAAAGGTCCCAGGTTCCATTTCAGTCAAGGGCATATACTTTGGTTGCGGGCACATCCCCAGTGGGGGGTGTGCGAGAGGCAGCTGATCAATGTTTCTAGCTCTCTATCCTTCTCCTTTGATCCCCAGTAGGGGGCATGCAGGAGGCAGCCCATCAATGATTCTCTCTCATCACTGATGTTTCTGTTTCTCTCTCTTTCCTCTCTAAAATCAATTTTTAAAATTTTTTTTTAAAAAGAGAGAAAAATTTAACTAAAGTTATTCTGAGACATACATCAGTGCCCTCCAACACCTCATATAGTGTTTGAGAATATTTATTTACTGATTGGGTTTTTTTTTTCCCTTAAGAAGTTCCCTTTGACTTAGTTATTAACTTTGAATACAAGTTTTGGTAGCTATTCAGCAAACCTTTATGAGAGGTTTAGAGAAGAGAAATAATTTTGCCGCAGAGGCACAGCAAGTTAGTGCACTGGCAGTTGCACTTTCTACTCGCCTCTTATGCCGAAGTGTCAAATGTTGATTCTGTGACACACTCCCTGTATCAGTCAGGGTCTAGTTTGGGAAACACAAGACTCACCAGGCATTGCACCAAAGAAATTTTAATATAAGAAATTGACCAAACCAGTATTAGGAAACTGAAAACAAGCAGAAAGGGAATAAGGAGGTAACACACAGAGATGGTAACTTCAGGATGTAGGTATCACCTCTAGGACAGAGGGAGCAAAGGATCAGCATTGTCAAAACC